CTCCAAACTCCTCCCACGCCCAGGTTTTTGCCTCAGCGATCACCAGAGCCGTATGCCGCTTCACTCGCCGGTACCCATCAGCTGCTCCCGTAGGCCAGAAAGGCCCGATAGGACTCCTTCTTCAGCTTGACAGCATCCCTCACCGAAGGTGTCCACCAACGGGTTCGAGGGTTGCCGCCGCGACAGGCACCRACAACCTTGTGGCCGCAGCTCCGATAAGCCGCCTCGCCAATGGAGGTACGGAACATGGTCCCTTCAGACTCAATGTCCCCCACCTCCCCCAGAACGTGTAATTATATAATATATATATAAACATCATTTCATTTCAAATTTATGCACCTGCCTAATTTTGTTTAACCAATTATCATAATTAGTTTCTGTAAATCATATAAACTTCATTTCACTTCTCTAATATCACTGTATTTGTCCTCTATATGATAAATTTAACTGAAGTTTTTAGTCCAAACAACCAATGATTTATAAAGGTAAATCAGGAAAATTAACAAGGCTGCCCAAAACTTTTTCATATGACTGTTTATGGTGCTCCATGCAGTTTTTTTTTTTTTTTTTTGCAAACTCCTTGTCCTTGTTTTTTTATGCTTCATTATCTTCATGTTTTGCTATTTCGTTTTTCTAATGCAGGGGTAGCGCCTCTTCATGGCTGCAGAATGTCTATGTATGTGTTTCTTTTGTTTTTGTCTCTGTCTTGAATGGGATGTTCCAAACTGGAATTTCCCTTTGAATGGGAAATAGATTGTACTTATATAACGCATTTCTATCCAACCAGGATGTTCAAAGCCTAACAATAAAGATTTTTGAATTTAATTGAATTATTATTTGAAAGTGGTTGGATTTCCTTACATCACTAAAGGTCACAATGAACAAACCCCATAGCAGGAATGATTCTCTCTCTCCTGTCCTGGCAGCTGGGGCATTGACTGAGCCAGGTGCACTGGACCATGCTGTACACAGACTCCACACTAACTCAGTGCTGTACAGTCCTGTGAAACATTCTTACTTGCATGGGCAGGCTGGGCGCCATGCTGAAGCTGGGCACTGCTGGTAGGCCATAGCTGTTGGATAAAACTGGATCGGATCTTGCCAAAATGGATCCTGAAGGAAAGGACACTAAAGAGAAAAAAACAGTTACACAACTGTGTCAAAAAATATTCAAAATTTCAATGACACTTGGAACAATGTTTCACAAACGTTTTTGTTTTTAACCCACAAAATGAAAGTTGCAGAAACTTGTGAACCCCTAGTAAGACCCCATGCTTGTTGTTTTATTACCCCAAAAGGCCCAAATTTTCTAAAATGTCTTGAATCATCTGTGGGGGCTGCTTGTATGAGTTGCAGAGGCTTATCGCTTCTTAGACAAATTTTCTCTCAAAATAATCCCAGAGCAGTCGTTGGTGTTTTAAACCCTCCTCAATTTAGTTTCCACAACTCTAGAGCACTAAAGTTGTACAATTCTGTTTCAATTTTTAGTAATGACATAAACAACAACTGAGACAAAGTTTGCTGCCTCAGTTTTTATGATGGATATTTTCAAATGCTGGAATGTTGTGAAGACGATCAGATCAGCTGCATTTATTTACAAAGTCGTGTTTTACCATGTAAATGTTAGACTCTGTCACGCTGATGGAGTTAAAATAGACAGGATGCTTTAAAATGCATGCCAAATACAAGGCCCGTGGGCAAAAAATGGCCCTCCACTGCATTTTATGTGGCCTGCACTTCAAAAATCTATTGATGTCTTAAATTAACTGTATACTGTTTCAAAACCAGCGTTGACCATAAACTACATCTCCCATAATGCATGTTGATTGTTTCCCCCTCAAAATGACAGCATCCCACCAATAGGTGAAGGTGCATGGGTTCAAAAGTAGCAGGTAACGACAAAATTTGCCATGTGTAATCTCAATTTTGTTGCTTTTTCACTGGCCACTTCATTGTTTTTGAGAGGGTGTGTTAAAACACTGTTTCTATGCAGGAAATACCACATAGAGCTCAGTTATTGTTTGTTAATAGTGCTCAGCCATAGCAACAAGATGAAGAACGGGACATTTTGTTTAGTTAAAGTTAAACCTAACACATTACAAATGGCTCTTGAAGCATTGACCATAGATATAATAAAATGAGTATGACACCCCTGATTTTTGTTTGAAGGGGGGTGCTGAAAATTGTTGTTCTTCCTCTGGTAAAATGGTTGTTAAATATCCAGATGGTCCTGGGGACACCTGAGTGGACCTGAGGCTCTGTCCTGCTACCACACAGTTGATCTTTGAACAACTCGATGGAGCTGAAGATTAAATGAAGCTGTGGGGGTCGAGATAAAACACCAGAACCTTTGTTTCTGCCACTGATTATCCAAGAGGTGGAGCAGGTGGACACAAACCTGTCTGTCTCACAGGAATGTCTCTAACTGTTACCAACCCCCCCCCC